TGTGTTTTAATAGAATTTTATTCATTCATTTTTTCCAATTTGTGGGCACAATAAATGCTTTCAGTGATTTATGACTGACCTATATGTTTTGTGGGATTTTACTATTAACCGATTTGTAAGCAACACCTTATCCCGCTGTGCTGATGAGGCATTATTTGGAATTTTACAATTTATTTTAGGAACTTTTAATATTTATCAGTATTTCAGCGAATTTATGGTTTGACCTTACAACTGTAATTTAGCCACATACGCTCCTGAGCACAGCGGCAATCTCCTAAGAGATTTTAACTATTCGATATGAAGAATCAAACCATTTAAGCGGGTGTGAATTTAATATTTAACGACCATATTTTTTTGAAGATTAAAACAAGAGAATGTGATCAATAAATATTTTATTCTTAATTAAAGAATATAATAAAAATGTTTATTGTGCGAGTGAATAGAATGACTAGCATTTATTACAAAAATCTATTTCGGCACTGAAATTAGTAAAACTTTAAAAATAAACCGTAATGAAAGTTTGCGGAAATTTATCACAAATCAGTGATCATTTCAGATACTTGCTAATAAAAAACAAATTACTTTTAAATTATGCTTCACATATATAAATATTTCTAATTTCTTTAACAGCACTTTTTCTGCAAAGTACTAAAAGCACTAAAAAATGAAGTGATCAAATAAGTACATTATCTTTGAAATTATAGATTAATTGCTTATAAATATTCATTCTCCAAGAAAACAATCAGTTGCTAAATTAAGTTCACCCATACACAGAAGTCTTAGTTAAGTTAAGTCTCACTCACATAACGCGAACATTAACAGTTTTATAGGAGATGTCGGAAACACTATACACTATAATTTTAAGATTTTTTTCGAATTTTATTTAATGTATTGTTCATTTAGAGTTTTTTAACAAAAATGCAGAACAGTACACTATGTTTGATGCCCACACATAACACTACACGCCCCACGCCTGTGAAAAACTTAACTTCCCGACTGGAAATTTGTTTAGGATGTAAACCGAAACGTAGGCGCAAAATCATATTAAAAATGAAATTCCGATTTGGCGTTCTGATCAGGTGTGTTTTAGGAAAATTACGCCATCACTGATTTGATTGTGATAATCTACCCACAAACGATTCTGAGAAGGACTCACGTCAAAATCGGAGCAATTTTCCTTTATTCAATATACATAAATCAAATTTTTTAATCTACTCACGATTACTTACTTTAAACACTTTCTTTTGCTGCAGCACTGTCTCTGACAATACTTATGTGCTCTAGTCCTAGTCAATAAGGGTGCTGTATATTAATTCGCTTAACAATATTAATGCCGTGATGAAGATCATAAGCTTAAGATTCATTTGGATATGGATGACATCTGCAAATCGTAAAGGGCTAAAGAAATCTTCTCTTTAGCACTCTCTAGGTATTTGAAATGAGTTTATCTACTGTCAGATCACTCAAACTCAAACAGCTTCTACTGATATTTTAAATGACATATTGGTCAAAGACCTAAAGTAGTCAGCCAACATATTCAGTAAGAGGGTCATCCCCTTTACATTGGAGTACATCTTAATCACAATATGTGCTGCACTACCAGATTATCAGAAATCGTTCTTAAAATCGTTTATATTCGGTTATTATTGTAATTATAACAATAAAAATGTTCTTTAAATTATTTTAACTAATCACATAATTGGATCATTTAATTATTAACAATTTATTAACTATTAACAGTTATTATCAGTTTATACCTAAACCTGATTAGAGTACTTAGGCATTACTATTGCATTAGACACATTTATAGAAAAAATAAGGTTAACGTAGACATTACTGCACTTGACTTCCATTTAATACAAGGCACATCTTCTTATTGCGTTAATCTAAGCGATCCATTTTTTATTTGTTTTTTTTTTTTAATTCAATTTGTTTTAACTATCACTAACGAGATTAACCTATATATATATCACGTAAAATATATACATAGCTACCTATAATAATACTTCTCACTATGTATGGCATTTGGGTAATGGGATTTCTATTTTAGTTGGACAGTGAAATAAATATTTCGCTTATCGAACAAGTTGGAAATAAGTGAATAATTAATTATAAAAATCCTTAGAGAGATAAAAAAAAATATAAAGATACGAACCCATAAGATGATCCATCAATGACGATAAACGAGCGCTGATCAACATCAACATCGAGCATATGTAAAAAAAATCTCATCGACTAGTAAATATATTCGATCTTCTGGTAAATATATTAAATTTTACAAATATTTTCATTTTTACTTTTAATAGTAATTTTCTGTTGAAAGCAGTAATTCATTCTTCTGGTGTGTGGAATCCATGTTGATGCTCATCTACTATTTTCTTTAAAATTTTTACTAGCCACTTTGTTAATTGACAAATGATCAATTACTTCTCCCCGATGGATGGACGTTCTTTTGAAAAACTTTGGCATATGGACATATGAGTTTATTGAAATTTCGTGTTGGTTATCCATTGTACGGAGATTGTTGCATTGGAAAACAAATAAGAAAAAAAGGTTAATTGTTGTTTATGGGTAGAGCCGTAGGCTAAAATGTTGTGCTAATGTAAAACTTATGCTAATCAGTGTCAAAAATGGCAATAAAGATTTTTTACTGCAAGTCAACTGAAATCTTGGTACTGCCAGAGAAGGTTAAATTCTCAGTCAACAACTTTTCCATCCTAAAATGCATTAAAACTGAAACTCCATAAAAAAAATTAACTGCATTAAAAGGTTATTATAGTGCAACTATGCGTAAATTTAAGTAGCACAAATTATGTAGTTACTTTTATATATAAGAAGATATATTTGCAACGTTGTTAATTAATTAAGATTTTAAAGATGTGAGGAATATAAATTTTACTACACAATAAAATACTATACATGCTTTTCTACTCTGAAACAAAATATAAATAAATTTAATTAACTAAATTAGTCGTTGTATATAATATATAATATAAGAGGTCGTACCCTACGTTACCATCTGAACTAGTTGGCTATGTTTGAGAAGAATGTCGATGACATGCTTTGGGACTTCCTGGTTTTGGAAGTCTTGTGACCGGGACGGAATTATTAAAACAGGAGATGCAATCAACGGCTAATATTATACTATCCTTAAAAGCTGACGTTTTGGCGTTTATTCGAAGAACAGAATATTTTCTCTTTATTTAGGATCGGTTGCTAGTCAATAAATCCGTTTGTATTATTTTCTGGTGTGTTACTAAATAAACATAGTATTTTATTTTTCTAAAATAGGTCAGTACTATACCAGGTATTTACCTAAAATATTAAAACAATTTGCTAATAATAGTACAAGCTTCGCAACCACATAGTTAAGTGGCCAATATACTATACATTTATTATCACTATGAGTAAAAGACCATTATCTTAAGACTCACTGCGTATTCATTACTTCAGCCGGAGATAATAGCTAAACAAGATATGAAATATTTATACATATTGTTTTTAAGTATCTACCTATTATTTTTTTTTTGTTTTTTAAATAATCGTATAATCGTAAATAAGTCAGTCTCTGCGTAGTCACTACTTTAAAATGAATTTTATTTTCTTTATCTTTGCTGTTGGAGTAAAATTAAATTTAAATTTAGAAACTCCATTTACATATTTTCTATGTTGAAATACAATACATATTTCTTCTTATGGTTTTAGATATTGTATTCCAGCTATTTACCTTATCAGAGTCAACGTGTCGTCATTGGCGGTGTCTTCTGTACCTTACATCGCTTGTCAATTGTACATTATCGTGTCTGTGGATAATTAGAGTTCTTGTTCCTTTTAGTTTCGCAGTTGTCATTGATGTCCATGCACCTTTCTTTCATTCCTCGTTCTCTGTGCGAAGGCAATTTAGTCGAACGTATCCGCCAGTTTAAACGGAAGTAAACATATCGGCAAGGCAAAGCATTAGGTAGCGCTTGTGTGCAGCCACATTGCCTGTCCCAGACTTTCGGGCACATGATGACTTGGTGCGCGCTGCTGGTGTCAATGTTGTTTGCCGCTCAATTACAACAAAATTGCATTAATTGATGTAAAATTTCTTGTGTTTGGCTTTGGTTTACACCAGGAATTACTTTTATTGCGTATGGGTTTGATATGGAGTTCTGTTGTTAATTAAAAGGTCTTAAAAGCATCTAGAAATGAGAATGCGATTAATTTATTTATTGTTAACCGAAGTAATGTTGGATAATTTAAGCTATTTTTACAAGGCATATATTAAAAACCTGATATTTTACATAAAAATTTAACATTATAGACTAGCTTCACCAATTAATAGTTTTCAATAATTAAAATATTTTTACGACCCAGATGGAGATATCATTCAGACCAAATTGTTCTATTGAAAAATAAAATGCTAAATTGTGCATTGTATCATAAATGACTCAATGATTTAGCATTAAAAATGGGATTATTATTTTTTAAAATAGTGTCCCTTATAATCTATACCTTTATGCTTTAAAAAATTAGCTATAGCTATTTCATACATTCCGCTTGAGACATATTCAAGGACTTTGTTTTGAACCTATTTACGGCTTTCTTCCATCGTCGAAAATCATTATCCCCGTAGTTTGTCTTTGATGTATTTTAAATCTGTACTGTACGGTGTCACTTTGTCACTTTGTGTTGAAGCCGATATCTGGGTGTTCACTTAAAACTAAATTACCGAACTAAAAAATAAATTAAAACACAACTAAATTATGAAATTTTATATCAAATTAGATATTTTTAATTCACTTTTGTAGGTGGTCCAAAAAACATAACTAATCTAAAACGAGTACGGGACAACAATGAGGAAGTAATTACAACGTTGACATGTTAGTGAAAAGTACAATAATATTTAAACAAAATAATAAAAAAATTAATTTAAAACGCTTACAATAAATTATTTTAAGAAAATTTCAATAACTTTGAAATTATATTAATTACAAATAGCTATACTACGTATTACAGATATATTTAAACAACTCACAGCACGTTATTCACTTCATGCAAAAATATTTCACATAGAAGAATATAAATATTAAATAGAATATACCTCTATTATTAATAAATAACTAAAAGTACATATTATTAAGAAAAAAAAACAAATGAAATGCTGAGCACTGGAAGATTAAGGAGAGTTTTCCAAAAGTTTTGCATCCTGCAACACTTGTTTTAAGTCAGCCTTGATTTCTTCAAATATTTTAGTATGACGGATCATGCTTTCTTTAAGCAACACGCGTGCTTGCTCAATCTCTTTTAAATGTGCACGTTTGTTCATAACTTTTGTGCGCAAATCCTGCAAAATTAAGATGTAAAATATATATCTTTAAATGATATTATATCAATATTATAGCTCCCATCTTACCGCCAATTTTGCCTCCTGACTTTCGACTTGTTTCTGCATAAAGCGTATTTTCTTTTCCTTGTAAAACATAAAAGTGGGTATCGTACGAGCCTCTGGGCTCTTATTTTCATATTTCCTATACAATATAAACAAAAATAAATTTACTTAACACAAAAAAATCTATATTATATTATTTTACCAATTTTTATGTGCATGTTCTTTATATTTTTCCTTCAATATTTGGAGATAAGCTAAATTTGTCCCAACATTTTCTACTGACCAAAGCTTATCCTGCGTATGTTGAATTCCTTTCAATAGTTTTTGTTTCAACCAATCCTCCGGAAACTTCAATATTGAATTCTCTTTTTCCTTAAAGACTTTAGCAAATGGTTCAAAATGCTCGGCACTACATTAATAATAATATACAGAATATTAAAATATTGATTCTATACGAAATAGTTTAGCTTAATATAGTACATTAATATATGCTGCAGCTGCATTATTTCTACAGGCCGGGGAATGTGCAATATGATTTGATAATAATACATATTGCAACAAGCCTCGACCGGTAAATAAAATGCAAATTTATTCAACTCTTTTGTTTATTGTTTCATTCAGAATATTGCAGACATTATACTTAACCTCAACTTTGCTACCATTTGCTGAAAAACTGCAGAATATTCATCTTTAGCATTTTTAACAACTTCTTCTTGTATTTCATTGGCTTTTTCTTTTTCCTCGGCCATTCCGTTATTACTGTACTTGAAACGCACACGCAAAACAACGCAATATTACTACAATAACTTTACAAATAGTAATAAGTGCCGTTTAATTATGAAATTAAAAGAAAATGCTAAGAGCGCCATTATTTGACATTTGTTGTAATATAGAGTGATGCCAGTTTTTTGACATTGTTTTCAAACACCCAGCAGGAAAATCAAGCACTTTATTAGTAAAAATGTAGCCTATAATTGAAGGCAATAATGTGCTAAAATTTATAGTAGAGAAATAAAATGATATTTTATTACATAATTTATTTTATCTTTATTTATTAATTTATCTTATATTACTTGTATTACTTTATTTTTCTAAATGAAACTATACATGTAAAATATAATCAAATAAAAATTGAGACTCATAGGTAATTAAATGGGTAAGTATGCATGATACATATAATACAATTATAAATAAATAATGTTATTAATATAAAATACATATGAAGTTATGTATATATAGGAATTCGCTTATTGTTAAATTAAAAAAGGAACCTAATAAAAATATTTGAAATAAATTTTTTTTAATGCTGCAAGTTTATTATTGTTGATTTGAAAATAAAAATTTTACAAATAAAATAGATTGTCAGTAATGTATACATATTTCTATATCTTTAATAAAAAATACTTATTTTTAGTAAAAACGTATTTTGGTAAAGTAAATTGAAATTTCCTAGGGATTTTTTGCACTGCACTTATGTAAATATTTATTTATTTATTTATTGCACTTATTTATTATTTTTGGTTTAAAGTTTTCAAATATAATTATTTATTTATTAAACATCTTAAAAAATTTTCACAGTGGTATTACCTAATTTTTATTTAATTCACCATATTCCAAATTCTGGTAAATACCAACATTCGCTGCCATACCGACATAATACACTATTTCCCTCAATTTACCATCAATTTACTTAAACTCACACACGGCTATAAAAAAAGGTATAAAAAACATCATGTCTTTACTCATAATGCAACGAATTTGACGTTAAAAATTGCGGTCGATGAGATAGTAAAAGTTGAGAAGCTAATAAAATCAAGAGACGTCAAGAACGTCTACTACTAATATACCATGTTTACGTCTCAATTGAATTTAAATTTCTATTCCAAATTAACACTTTTCATAAAAAATTAATATACTAACTACTACTACATAAATAATATGAAATCATTCGTTTTGTCAAAACCAAAAATCTAAGAATTTTTTTTACAAATTGTTTTGATATATTGACAGCGTTTGTTTTAATTTCACTTTTATGAAAACTTATATATTATAGATATCACAATTGTTGCAGATAAAAAAGACTTATTTCTAAATACATTAATTTATAAAATTATTTTATTAAATTTATTAGCATTGTCCGCATAAGGCGAAATTTCATTCGTAATAATCAAAGCAACGCAAATATATTATAAATTCTAATTTATTGATTGTAGAATTATAAACAATAAATTCAAAAATGTGTTTGTTTTTGTGAAATAAGTGTACAATTATTTAAATACAATTTTAAAACAATTAATTTGTTAAAAAAATTTCATATATAACATTTCTGCACTACCTTATCGACTGTCAAATTATATACGAAACGAGTCTCACATTTCGAGATCAACGCATGTTCGAAATGTGTCGCCATTTGCAATTTGTTCGCGTTTTGCATTAGTTAATATTTTCCGCTGTTGTGAGAAAAGCTGTCAGTGGTTTGTGTTAGCAATTCTAAATAATTAAATACAATTAGTTAGGAGTGATAAAAAAATTGAAATAAACTTTTAATCCTTACAAACATTTATTAAAGTTTAAAAAAATAGTGATAATTGCGATATTTTAAAGGGTAAGTGACTTTTTTGTATTTTCCTTTTAATAGACGCGCTAAAATGAAATAGCAAATTCGATATTAATCAAGGGTGTCTGCCCGGTGATATAAAAAAATGATGTGCGCATATATAATGAATCATTACGATTGAAATATATTTTTTTTGTACAAATTTTAATTATTTGCAATGCATGTAAAACGATTTATTGTTTTTAGAACTAAAAATGTGGATTAAGTGCTTCGTTCTCGGCCGGCTTCTCACATCTTCCGAGAAGTAAATTTACCTACATATTTTGTTTTTGTATTCCGCTACATAGCAGAATTATTGGTTTTGTAGGCAAGTTCATTTGATGAAATTATGGCGCGTGTTTTTTTTTTCTTACATTAAAGCATCAAAAAGTTTTATTGTGCATTTTAAATTAAGTCATATTTTTAATTAATTTTATATGTGTTTGCTGCTAAATGCAAATTACTGTTTTGTTAAATATAACGCAGGGGTTGCTTCTTTCCTAAAACAGGTTAAAGGGGCAGACATGTTTGCTTTTGCTAGTGATAAAATTTACCAAAAAAAAGTATTGATTATTCGGTTAACTTTTATACACATATTTTTTAATTTATTCGAAATTCTTATCATAGAGGGCAGTGAATCGTATGTTAAAGGGAGGTCTCATTCTAACTTAACCTATTTAAAATTTTAGTGTTATTTGGAATGCTTTTAAAGAATTAATACAATATTTTGAACAAATACTAATAAATATAATTTATTTTACTTTTTTTTTATTGTTTTAAATTATTTATTGAAGTGTGTACTCTTTGAAAACCAATAAGTTTTAGTTTTGTTATGTATTTATCTAAATTCACTTTTTAGCTCAAAAAATAGTTATTTTAATTAATTGTTTGCCACATTAAAACAATATTTAACTTACTTTAAGGGGATTAACCAACCAGTCAAAATAGTTTTCAAATAACTTCAAAAACCATTTTTATTTTCGCTGATTTTAACCTACTTAATTCGTTGAATACTGAAACCATAGATTTTGGTTACTCAAGGCCTGTGTTGTTTTTGGCTTTGTCTTGTGACTTCATGTACTTTTTTGGTTTATGCTGGTATTAATTTATCTGTTATTACAATTCTTACCATCATTGTATGTATTCAATTAACAGGTCTGACTTTTAAGCCACTAAGCTACAAAGACAGTTTTTGTGTAATATTTATGAGTGTTAAAAGAGTGGGTTTTTATTTTTCGACTCAGTACTTGTTGTTTTTTAACACAGATGCTTAGCTTATTCCCCTGTCTAGTCGTTATATTGTGCTTCTTCAACCGTTTCGACAATTTGTGAACAAACGCTTTCTTTCTTAACTATTTTTAACAATTTCCTTTTTGTTTGGATATAAATTGAAAACAACTAATTTAAGCTAGTTAAGTCAATCATATATTTTAAATATAAATATTCAACTTTAAAATATGTATTTACTTTTGTACAATGTTTCGTATGAATAGGTTTCTTTGCTGGTAGTACATTACAAATTGAACAATATTTTATAATTTATAAATTAATAATTTATAATTTTTTTAAAACAATATTAAGAAAATTTAATTCTACATCAATAAAGCGAAATATAAAGGTTAATCAGGTTTTATGTCGAATAACATATAATGGTGCGTTATCATATGTGGCTGAAACTAACACAATCGGCTGAATCTATCCGCCAGGCAAATTCTTTAACATCGTCGTTCTGTCTGAAGTCCTGGACAGACACAGAGGAAGTGGTTGATAGATTCTACCTTCTCTTCATCTTGGCAACTCCTGCATAATCCAGTAAGCACACGAACTGCAGGTTTGCTGAAGGCTAAAAGGCTTTTCGTTTTATTTTTGTTCAACCTAGGCCATAAAGTTCTAGTGACCTCACAGTCTTTACGGTTAGTCTATAAATTGTTTGTCAGCGTGTTGGTGATTTCGTCTATCATCCTACAGTTCACATATTCAAAATAACTTAAGTCCAATCGATCTTTAGACCCGTCTCATAGAAGTAGTTAGGTTTCCTCTTTTTAACCGTGGTTGACTTCAATTTAAATTCAAGTCATAGTCGAATTCGTTGTTAACCTTAAATAATCCAATCTACTCTTACACTACCATTACCTATATACATCCTTACCCAACAACAACAATAAATTTTCCAAGGACAAAATAGTCTAAATTTAAATCCTAAAGTGGTCATTAAGATAAAAAGATAAAAAGTAATGCAAAAGTTGTTTTTAATCATTTGAAGATTCAGTTGATACGATAACGAACCTTTATTATAATATTTAACATGGTATAACTATATTTATATAGAATGTAATTAGGATAAATCTGAAACTACAATGAATAGTGTATTGTAATTTAATCTTAATAGTTAAGTTTAAAAAATTTGTATTGCATTTCAAAATATAATACGACGACGACTGTTTGAAAAATATTCGGCGTAAAAATGAAAGAATATATAATTTATTATGAAGTTTCAAATAGTTTCGGAACTGGTTACTTTCGAAGAGGATAACTTATTCTAACCTAACACATTTAAAAATCGGAAGTATTATTAGTTTGGTATACAACGAATCAAAAATAGGACAATCATATTCAAAATAACTGACCTACCTATTTGAAAATAGTCGATAGTTGATTTAATAAATTCGTAATTTAAAGAAATATATGACACCATAGTAATTTTTCTTAATAGAAGAAATTTTACTATTTTTTAGTACACTTTAGCTGCAATCTATTGTTTTGTCTGTTCTATGTTATAGATGACGATGATGAACAACGTTTGAAATGCTTTTAATATTGTTTAAAATGATTGAAAGAGATCTGATTTTATATCCTGTTCTTTAAAATACATTTCATAAGTAAAAAGTCTTTCTAAATTGGTATTTGCGGATGTTTAAGACATTAACTATTTTCCATACTTACACTCTTCGATAGACAAAAGTCATACTAATGCTTTATGCTGCCTGAACCAGCATTTGGACGATAATTCTTTAATTTATTTTTAAAGACTTATTTACTTTAAAAATTCTTGTACTTTGAAGAATTTAGAAATTAAATCTGCTATTTGAAGTGTTAATAGCGGTGTTTGGGCTATCTTCTTTCATCCTTTAGAATTTGGCAAACTAAAAATTAGTGTCTATTTTTACTGAGTGGAAAGTTGAAGCTGGCGGAAATAGAATAAAAAGAAAAAGTGACTGCAAAGGTGAATGAAGTTACAGAAATCGAAATTGCTTAGTTTCTTAAATGCTTTGAATAATTTTAGATGAAAGTTTAGTCCTTATAGTTTAGTGGCAATATTTGGACATCTTTCTTTATGCATACAAGAGCATTTGACAAACTTTATTTATTGTCTATTTTTGAAAATTGAATATCATAATTCTATATATATATGTTGAATAATTTCAGATAAAATCTATTCTTTGTAGTTTAACAGCAGTATTTAGATAATCCTTCTTTATCTATATATCATTGAAATTGTCTATTTTTACACAGTTAAAGGAAATTGAAGGTGATGGTTTAAATAATTTTAAATGAAATTTCCTATTTAATCAATAAAACAAGGATTTAATAGTTGTTCACTACACCTCAACTCTATGCATAAGTGAAATTAATATAATTTCAAAGTTCCTTACGCCATCTATGTTGCATAGTCAAAACTAGTTCAACTAAATGCGTAAAATAGTTTTTGAAATAACAATTAAGTGAGAAGACGTTTCAAATGTTGTGGTTTTCTTAAAACACGTCGGATTTTGTAGAGCAGCATTAGCAGCCATACTTACATCATTTACTACCAGTTCTTAATATTTAAACTTATTCTAGTCTTGGTATTTTATTCAGATATTTTGAAGGATGACGTTTTAGCTTGACGTACTTAAAACAAATACGCATGTTGTGCGTCCAAATATTTTTAACTAGTTTACCAAACAAACTCATTTATACAAAAACATGCAGATCCAGCCAGACTATATTTTATAAATAATTTATTTCATAAAATATTAAGAAAATTTAAATAATCGTTATTTACTACTAATTTAAGATTGTTATAGAATTGTGTTGTGTAGTAGAATTAAGTAATAAGAAAATGTTTTCTACATATGTTATTTGTATTTGATATACTAAAATATTTATTTACTTTTAGTACAAATTGCATTGTAAAGGAAAAACATATATATATTTTATACAAATTGCACAGACCAAGTTTTCTATATGGTTTTGCAGAGATTGTATAATGATTCCTTTATAGATTAAGATTCTTGAATTTTTATTTTGCAATAAGTGAAGTGGTTTCTACTTATTTGTGGTTGTTTTAATTAAATGCATCATCAGCTTATAGTAGCAAAGCAGAGACCACCTGTTCAACTTACATGCTGACATTGAACTAAATTCCTAAAATAATTGCATTTGTTTTTTGTTATTCATTCATCTTTTCTGCATTTCAAATGAGTTTCTTTGTAAATAATTTGCATTTTGCATTCTGCATTCTGTTCGTGACTTTATATTAAGGGTACTCGTGAAGATACTAAAGATTTTGAGTTGTTGTAAGCTTCGTCATACGTTATTTAGAAGCAATATTATATATGATCATTTTTCTTATTTTCAGATAAATAAAAGATAAAGAAAGAAAAGGTTTTGTCTTGATTACATTTTTCTCAGTATAAATTCGTCTACGAATTCACGTGCAAAATGACGAGTAAGTACCATAAAATCATAGAATGACATTTTGCGACACCATTAGTTAAATCTGTTTTGTAATATATGTATTATAAAAATTTCATATATGCATGTTCTTATAACTAAAAACTTCAACGAGAAAATATAGGAAATAACTGATATAATGAATTAATTATGTATATAAATTAATACATTTATCTTTAAGACTGAACTAAAATGTTTTAAATGCAGTTTACCAGCATTGCTTTGTGCTAACACTTAAAATCTATACATAAATGTACACCTTAACATATACGGGTATGTCTTTTTTAGTAAAGACCAAAAATATCATTAAAGAGTTAGTTAATGTATATATATTTTATATCTATACTATAACATCTATCTATTTTATATCTATCTTGAGTACTGATGAAAGGGGTCAGTCAGTAAAACAAATTCAAGAATGTAGTTACAAAATATATAGGTAGAAAAATCTTTATCTTTTGTATCTACATGGCCGGGTGTGTTGGGTGTTGATCGTATGTTTAAGTTTAAAACACTTCTGGAAAAATTCCAAGAAAACAATTCTTTTTAATTTTCGAAGTAGTTTAGTAAGTTACTAAAAATTTGGCCCCTAAAACTTACGATATATACTCACAATATATACTCCCGACATAAATTAGGAAAAATACTTCCGGATATGGGGGAGTGGACACAAAGTTTATGGTGATTTTTTTATGAAGAAGAAAACTGTATGGATAACATGAATATTTACCACGTTCAAGATCCGAAAAAAATTTAGTAAAAACCCTGAATGTATTAAAAAGTAATTGTAAATTAAGGGGATTTTCTTTCTAAATACCTTACAGTTTTTATTTAATTTTTTTATTTGTTCCTTTGGTATCTAAATTTGGTAATAATTAATGTTTACATTCTATAACCATGAAAATGTATATAAATTTTATATATAACTTTTAAAAGCACGTTTAAAGAACTGTTTTTTAATTTTAATTCCAAAATCCTTCATTTGGGAAGTGAAAATAATATTTTAAATTATTCAACTAATGCATTATTGTATTATTTTTATTAATAAAGAATGTTGATCATAATAGCACCCATCAGTCGGGTGAATATCTAAATTATATCTATAGATCCCAACTTTTGTTTTGTGTAATTTAAAGAGAGAGAATTAACTTTTTACAATAATCTGTACCATTTGATATTCATTTTCCTGTCATGGGCAACTGAAATGAGTTGCTTTTTTGACCCCAAGTTTTTTGTTTTTGGTAAACTTCTGGCACTTTATATCTCGAAGTAAATACCCTTCGCTCCTATACCATATTTTCGTTCCTTGGATAATGAACCACATCCCCAAGTTATTACACTTCATAATGAAACATCCTATATAGGTATATTCTAATAAAATTTATTATATGGTTTATATATACTGTTATGGTTTATTTCTTATATAAATTTAGATTGAAATCTTTTGAAATAATTACGCTAAATATGTTGAAATGATGAAGTTACGCCTTTATTATTTGGCATATCTACCAATTACAATAATGCATTAGTAAACAGTAATATATTATAAGCAACGAAAATAAAAAGGTTATATTGAAAGATGTTCCTTACTAACACATATTTATTGAAATTATTTAGGTTGATTTATCGGTTAACAAAACTGGGACTTTACTTAAATAGATTTTTAAGATATTGCAATAAAGAAGATAATGAGAGTGTGAGTTATGTGTTGGAGGGCATGACTAGCACTGTTGCACAAAAGAAATAAAAGCTTGGATTGTTAACTAACATTTAATGGAGTTGTATGAGTTTGTAACGTAGAAAACTACGTTTAATTAAATAGAAATTTAACTTAGAGAAAGATTCTGAATGGTCGAATGAGGACACAATCGATTTTTAAGATCGAAGTGCCTGAACCTTCCAAACATAATAATAATAATAATATCAAGGCTCAAACCTTCGGAATCGTTGAAGGGGGGATAATAGATCTTTAAGATTGAAGGGCAAGATGCCCTCAACATAATAATCTCAACGTTCATAATATAGTTGAAGGACACTTACCAAATACCAATTGTCCAATGGTATTTTTGTAAATATTCCTTATTTAATTATTCTTCAATAATGTTATAGACTGTTGAACTTGTAGCTTGTCAAATTTGAAGTTCAAAGTTAGTGTTAAATAATCAAATGATTTCAAGCCGTGCTTAACTTGTATTGCTCTAACTTGGAGTTTTTGTCGATTTGGTGTGAAAGTTAATTAACAAATTCACTTGCTGTATTTTATATAAGAATGAATTTATAAACTAGGTATAGAATAATTGAATTAATTGATAATAGATTTTTAATTGTTAAATTTTTAGTACTAGAGACATTATATTTTTTGAATTTATAGCGAAGTTAGAGTGAATCATATATAAACATAAATGCAAAAGACTCTTATAACAATTACACATTTTATACTAAAATTAATTATATACGAATTATACTCAATTTATTATTAAATATTGTTAATTACTTGGAGTTTATAGAAATATATTTTTAAGATTTTTTTGAAATTCATTATCGTCTTCGACCTTCAACTTACGTTTTGCCTTTTGATGTGGAATTTTTTTTACATATTCTTACTGTATTCTTCTTTTAAATACAGTGAATATCGTACATATTCAATATAATAATAATTCTCATACACTTACCCCACTTACCAAACCTAAGTCGTAAACCATCATTTTGTTGTTGCGCTTAAAAAATATTTTGAAATCTTATACTTACCAAAGGCAACAACGTGTTTCCTATTGTTAAGTATATCTCGTTTTATTTATGATTTTTTCGTTGCTTCTATCAGCTTCAAGCATTTTTTAACACTTTGAAATCTTTGAGTAAATATACACTTGAACTTTATGAATATATATATATGTTCAGCGCATATTTCTTATAATATTCATAATCAATATTTAGCAAATCATTTGTTTTCAGAAAGATTATTTTTGATCTTCTGCCTGCTTGACTAAAGCTTTATTGTGAGAAAATTTTAAAAATGGGAGTGTTAACGAAATTTAAATAAATATTTGCACACCTTTGAGTAGTCATCGTATTAGCAAATCTGTGCCTACATTGTATTGCATTAAGTTTTTCGTGGAAATTGTTGTATTGTAGTTTCAAATCAATGTTCAATGTTGTATATTTCATGTAGCTACTTATTGCTAACAAGAGTACTTTTGCTTATTTTATTTTATAATTTAAATAATAATATTTCATAAAGAGATTTTTTGAACAGTAGTGAAACTACAACAACAAAAATTTATTTTATATTATTTTAATATATGGATTATGGGCTGACCGTACAGCTGTTTCCAGTATTGCCAAATACCAATTATCAATTATATCAATTATATATTTTTTGTGACTGAGTATCAAGAATCGGACTCGGTTCCTGCCAAATTCAATATAATATTTAAAATAATATTTCTATATACTATAAATTGAAAAATTCGTTTTATTTAAAGCTTTTATAAAAAAGAATTAGTTATTTATATAAATACCTACTGCTTAGTGATATTATTAAATATTATATAAAATAGTTAATATATTGTTTTTAGGACCAAACAATTTTTTAATAATAATTTTGTTTTTAAACGGGCTTAAAACAACGGGTCTTGGTTAAATAATAGGGGTATTCAGGCAACTTATTAATTGCTTAGTTGATGATTACAACAAAAATTTGCATACAAAAATGAAACTAAGCAGAGAATCAACTATTTCGGAGATTCTCAGATTAGTAAAAATTTTTCAAGTCATTTGCACACAACAAAATAGTCAGATTACGCATTTCGGGTCGTTCAAGTAACTGATTAACATCAAAATGCTAATTTTTTTTTATATGAAGTTTTTGAATCAACTAAATAACTAATCAGTTGCCTGAATACCCCTAATATACTTTTAAAAAAAATTTTTTAAAACAAAACCAATTTTTTGAACCAACATTTCGACTATATTCTATGGCACTTCAGTGTACCTGTAAAGTATTAGCTCACTTAAGTAGTTAAAGTAGTTAAAAAAATGTTTTGTAAAATATGAAAAAAGTTTTTATAGACAAATATATCAAAAAAAAAAATAAATAAATAAATTTTTTTTATAAAAGTTTCAAAGAAATTATGTATTTCATTGTGTACCATAAACTTACTATATTTTTACTAAGAACATAAATTTTGTATTCTAAAGACAAAAAGAAAAAAATTTCAATCGAATCCTTTTAAAAATTTATCAACACTTTACTAACAAATCAAGCAAAACTTGGTTCACAATGTATCTATCTAACAAAGTGGAGGGCGTAATGAATTCGCCTCTAGTGTCCTAACTAAGCCATGATAAAATAACGTACATATCACATTGGACTTTACCATTGTTGTCATTGCTTTGCTACTAATGTTCAGCAGTTTCGCTTCCCACACGCTATAACCACATTAGTTATTAACTTTTTTGCTTTAAAAACAAAAAACAAAAAATAAAAAAATAAAAAATAAGGTATATAAATAAATAAATGTGTACCATCGACGACCGACCAATACAGCACAATAAGTACCCACCAAAACCGTTCAAATACCCCCGCTAGTGAAGTATAACCACAAACGACGTTAGACGTTATATGCACATCGTTTGTGTGTAACTCGATTGTCTGTCGGTGGGCAGCATTTCTATCGAACACTATATTTTAAAGGACATTGTTGTGTGACAGCTTGGACGAATATTGTATATTTTTTCATAAGTATGTGTATGTATGTGTTTGTTCCTAGCAACTAACTAGCGTATAAGCATTTGGAAAAATTATAAACATAGTGAAAATTTATTTTTTTTTAAGTTGATTTTTTTTATTATTATTTTTTTATTGTACGTACATGTTTTGTTTTGTTTTTTTTTATATTTATTTTTTGGCGTTTTTTTTCTTCTTTTTTTTTTTGAAACGAAGCTCACCCCGAATTCCACACTCTAAAGTGACCATTCCGGTTTCCTTCCTTCCTG